GGAAAGTTTCCCATTAAAATTTAAAATTTGATGATAATTCATGCATGGTTGTAAACATCCATCTACGCCAACCATATATAACCCGTTAGACAGATGATAATAGTAGATATAGATCGGATATCTGAAATTTTTTATGTATTTATATCTATATCTTATTTATACAAATATCAAATTTTGTTATCCGTCTATATTTTTCGAATATATGTAATTTCGAATATTCATAAAAATTAAATATATTTATAAATATCGATATCCAATATAAAATAACGAAAATAATAAATAAAATATACAATCCGTCAAACTGAACTGATAAACACAAACTGATCTATTAAACACAAATAAAATATATAATCCAAACCATAGAAGAGCCTTCCTATTTGATTTTATAATTTTTTTCCTTATAACGGGGATCATTTCAAGAAGAATGGAAGTTGTGGAGCAACTTGTCCGTTTACGACATGGCTTCTCTTCTAAAATTAATTAATTACATGTTGTACAAATATTTTAAGATTATTCTTTCCTTCAGGGTCTTATAATTTTGAAATATATTCCTTTAATTGGACATTGCTAATTCATTTAATTTATTCATCTTTGAAACCTCCATCAGATTATAGATTTAAAAACCTATCAATATCTTATTTATATATATATATATATATATCTTTATATATAAAAATACAGTTCGTAACAAGAGGATGACACGTGTACTTTTTTATGAGGAATATGAAAGATTGCATTTTGATTTTTTCACAAGAGTCAAATGAGGAAGAGCAACTAATTTTTCAATAAAAAAATAGAGGGCGTTATCACAACATTATCAAACGAGTAATTAATTTTCATTTACCGGATGTATCTCTATTGATTCTTTTTTTTTTTTTTAAATAGAGCCCTTATTTTTTCTTTTTAATATCCATCCATTCAGTTATTCCTCTAATTGTCTTAATTACATTCATTCTTCTTTCATCCCTCTATTCACCATATTCAATGTTTTTAAAATACATTTATTTTTTCTAATTTTCCTAATTACACTATCATCACGGTCATATTTTATATTCACGTTATTCAATAAAAAAATATATATTTATATTTATTCGTCAAAATATATATGTACTTTATGAAATTTAGCAAATAAATCTTTAAACGCAAATGCAAAAAAAAAAAAATACGATCAAAATCTTATGTGAAATTATTTTAATAAATAAATAACCTGAATCGAATCGAATCGATTAAAATAATATATCAGATTGGATATGAATATTTCAAATCCGAAATAACGAATCGAATCCAACCGATATATACTCGAACCGATTAAAACAATATACCAGATTGAATATGAATATTTTAAATCCGAAATAACCGAATCCGAAATAATAGAACCAAACCCGACCGATATATACCTGAACCGAATCGAACCGATTAAAATAATATACCAGATTGGATATAAATATTTCAAATTCAAAATGACTGAATCCAAAATAATCAAATCCGAAATAACTGTAAACAGAATAAACAGAACCCGAATTAAGCGCAACCAAATATAAACGTTTATCCACCTATATATCATCAATTAATATCTAATTTATTTATTAAAATAATATCACATCAAATTTTTTACCACTTTTTTTTGCAATTACGTTTAAAGGTTTATTTACTATATTTCATAAAGTATATGTATACTTCGACAAATAAATATAAATATAGGATTTTTTGTAATAAAAAAATATAATATTTTTTGTCAACATCTGAAAAATATAGGATTTTTTTGACTATTTTTTCTAAAATTTATTATAAAAATCTATCAATTATTAATTTTATTAAAAAATACATTAACTATATAAATTATTTAAAAATAATTTTTATTTTAAATTTGTTATCATCTACTATTAATTTTAATAAAAAAAATTTATCAACTATCTAAATTATTTAAAAACATATTGTATTATAATATTGTTATAAAAAAAAATTTATATTTTAAATAGAAAAACATATATAAATTATACAATTTTAAAAATCACCTAAAAATTAATATTTATCTAAACATATCACATGATAAGATTTAGAATTTATATAAATATTTGTAAAAATAATCTTTTACATAATAAATTGATTTCATCCATCCCTTTGCATAATTAATTCATAAACCACACATAGATATTGTTTTCTTTCTAATAAAAACCCTTGAATGAATAAAAACTAATTCAAACTTACAAAGTCTTATACCACAAATTTGATCCATGGAGAATAAGAATCGGACGACAGGACACAAAAGGGCTAAATGTTAACCAGTTTCCTGCTCGAATTCTTCGGCGTCAGAATCCTCGGCATTGTCAGCTTCATCGTCCTCAGCATCGTTATCGTCCTCTTCTTGGTTGTTGTCGATGGTTGGTTTGCCTATTACCGGCAAGCTCGGGCTCATCTTCCTGATCTCATTGCACTGCAACAAAACACACAGTTCGGACATCAAAAGAACCCATAACATTGTCCCATTGTCTTGTCCTACTGTCCTTCTTTCACAGTCTCAAGGTGCAAACAACACATGATGATGACCCGGATAGCTCACTGAATCACACACAATGGATCAGGACCAAGAGGATAAAGATAAAGATGCATTAGAGTATAATCTTACAGAAGTAGGCAGACACAAAAGTGAAGACATTGCACAACATCGAATTGAAACACTTTTCTTCACCCTTTCTTCTTCTTCTTCTTCTTCTTCTCTCCTTTCTCTTTTCTATTTGTTCATCACTCAGTTTGGCACAAATGACATAGACAGCGTTGAAGAGGAGAAGAACCTATCCAGTGATGCCATCATATTGTATTGTTGTTCAACACTAACCGCACCGGATCATGAAACAAAATATCAAGAAAACCCGGATATCTTTTCCTTATTGATTCGCAACTCTACGGTTTCAAAGTGGTAAAAGGATCTCCCCAAAGCTTTTGCGCTCATGGATGGAATCTAAAACTAGAGCACGATTAGAGGGTTTGTTCAGGGAGAGCTTTAAGCTCGGGCCTTATATCCCACCAACACAAACTTGCACAAAGGATGAAGCAAAGATGAAGCTAGCTCCATTGGCGAAAGGATCACTGTCTGTGTGAAGCAAAAGTGTTTTCCCTCAGATAGAGAACAGTTGCTAAGATCGAGATCGCTAATTCACGAAAGTTGAAATCAAATACACATCAGATCATCTGTTCTCTACTACAGTCCAACAGGAAGCAGCCATTAGCACTCAACCTGCGTAACCTAATTGGTTCAAACCCACCGAGACGAATGTGTCAATAAATACCCAGAGGTTTCAATCGGCCCCAATCTGATTGCTTCAATCGGAGCTATATTGGGTTCCAATTGCGCGATTTTGCATCGTCATCTTCACCAACCCTCGATACTATTTGTTGGATAATAAAAATTGAAACTTTGATTTCTTTATGGCTCCGACACAAAGGACAAAGAAGATTGAAAGAAGGATGTTGTTACCTTTTCTTCGAACTCAGCTTCTTCCATGGCGAGAAAAATCTCCTCGTTATGCGGCTGTGGCCACTGCAGCGGCAACAGAAACGACGTCGGAATCGTTCTCGTCGATGACGGATATTGGCTCATCAACGTCGGAAACTGCAACATTCTCCCTCTCTCTATCTTCTCTTCTCCTTCTCTCTCTCTGAGTGGGGTGTGACGTGAGGTTTCCGAAGAGAGTCCGGGATTGTTTGGTAGGCCTGATAAGATTATTCTAGACCGGGACAAGTATCCACATATCCAAGCACGTGACACGAGACCTCCCAGCCCATTGAGATTTGAGAGGTTTCTCTTCGCCCATTCTCCTTTTTTGGATCAAACGCTTAATCGTATACCCACGCTGAAGTGTATATTTAAGTTGGAACTCCCAATTTAGAGTACAAAACAGAACGGAATTGACATTTTGCAGCTAAATACGATTACCCTGAATGCCTTCAAACAAAATTCATTAGTTTAGATACCAATCCCCCACGAAAGCATAAAACGTTGCATGGATAAAGTGGAGAAAGATCTTATTTTAATGTTCAAGAACAATCTCACAACTTAGCCCACAAGCTAAACCTACTCGCTCCAATCCACCATTATCAGGGTTTCTGAGAAACGTCTGAGTAAAGACCAAGTCTGATGCCTACGAGGAAGAGCTTCCACCCTTCTGGCTGATAATGTAAACCCGCAAAAAGCTTTCCGAAATAGCTTCAGGATTGGGAATGGGGAGCGTCTGATGTTTGGACGCCAGAGAGTTCATCCTGCATAGGCAGAGGAACATGAAAAGGTTTGACCTTTTCTGCAGGGAGAGTTTCAGACAATGTTAAACCTGGAAAGAATGAACTTTTGAAATGATAGCAAGGCAGATAGAGAGAGAGAGAGAAAACACCAAGAAAAGAATATGGAACTTGGCAGTCGAGATTGGTGTTTATGTATCTTGCAACTGAATAATAAAGGGCTAACACTTTATGCAAGCCCAAAGAGTTCAGAGATTTTAGAATGCTTTCTGATATGATGGGGGCATGTGTAGAGAAGATCTTTTGCTTCGGAGTGTCTTCCCTCCCGGAAAAAAGCTTTGAAAATATTAAGGTATGCGGCAAAAGAAGGGTAATCCTTTGAGCTTAGTACTCTCAGGAACTCCTTAGCATCCTCCACAGTCCCAAACTTTGCAAGGTATTGATCAAAGGGTTCGGTATAAGCAGGGAGATTTTGCCTCTTCATCATCCGGAGAAGATCCAATGCTTCTTCACATTTCCTGATTGCTAGCAGCTTCTCTATAAGATTCTTGTATGTGGCTTGCCACGGCTTTACGTTGGCCGTCTTCACCATCTCTACAAGAAATTTGTGCGCACCTTCGATCCTATTTTGGCAATGAAATCCATTAACCAGGACATCTAGTAGATCAGCATCGATGTCAAACCCCTTCTCTAACATCTTTGCGAAACACATCAAGGCTTTATCCACTTCATTAGCCGTACAATGCCCTTGAATCAGAATAGTCCAAGTTTTTATGTCGGGAATGCATCCTTGTGCTTCCATTTGATCAAGCACTTTGCATGCTTCTTCTAATCTTTTGGCTTTACACAGTCCAAAAACCAGTTGACTGTATGTGATGTTGTCCGGCCCATATCCTGCATTTCTCATAGCATTCACAATCTCCTCGGCTTCTGCAAACCTCCCTACACTCGTTAAAGACCTGTGTATTCCATCATAAAGGGCCTTTGAAAGAGAATTCCCTGTTGATTCATACTTTCTTGCTACTCGAAATACCAGGTCCAGATCTGGGTCAGGACATGTTGATAATGCCCTCAGCAGAAGACTGCACTCTTGCGCAGATGGTTTGAATGGACCATCCATCATAAACTCGTAAAGCCTTACCACATCTACCATCATCCTAGATTTCTGAAACTGCCTCGAAACTTTTATGTAGGTGTCCAAATCCATCTCGCTACCAGCAGTCTTCATTTCATCAATGACACTCCAAAACTCTCCAACCGAATTGGGCCTTGCCAAAACTCTCAAGATTGCATTATAGGTAATGGTGTTGTGGTCGTAACTAGAAAAGCCACCAACCCACCGGAAAAACTCCAAAGCTTTCAAGGGATGATCCCTGAGTTCCTTCAACACCCTGATAACGAAATTATCCGACAATACGAGCTTCATCTCCTGCAATTCCCTCTCCACTTCACTACCCCATTCAGCCCCTGAAACAACATCGGAAACCCTTTTCGCAACAGCATCCATTGCATTCTCCTTAACCATTCTATCATAGAAATTAGTCAAAGCCACAGAATCGCTAGTCAATTTCTCCTTCCTAAGCACAGCTTGAAGGTTGGAGTACGTTTCCTCACTCAAACAAAACCCTTTTTCTTTCATCTCTCTGAGGGTAACCCAGAGCGGCTTCATGGACCTATGCTTAACCAAAATCCTCAAAATCAAGCTATATAACGGAGAACTCGGACGAAGCCCTGATTTTCGGAAAACCCAATCGAAAAAGCCGTAAGCTTTTTCTGGGTCCTTACTCAGACTCATCAGAACGTAGATTGCAGTCTCGTGACTCAGCGACGCGCCCGGTTTTCCCAACTCATCCTCTAATGCAGGGGACCAATCGTTTTCGAGTAGTAACTGAGCTAACGAGTTCGGTTCCGACGAAAAGAAGCGGAATTGATACAGAAACCGATTAGGTGTTGGAAAAGCATCGAACCTCGAGGAGTGAGAGAGAGAAGAAACCTGAGTTTGAGTCAACAAAGAACGAGTCGAGATGGAGGAGTAGGCATGTCGGAGAGACGAAAGGAGTGCCTTTGATCTGCTCATGGTGGAGGAGGACGAAGAGCAAGGGTTGGGGTTTAAGCAGCTCCTGAAAGGCTGCGTTTTAGTGAGAGACCTGGACAGTGGACACTGCTAGGGAACGGCGGGTTTCGGTTCAGATTCGGTATGGTGGTATCGAATTTAGCTGTTTCGGTTTAAAAAATTTATAATCAATTAGCTTTTATATTGAATTCCATTGAGTTAGATTCGTATTTATTTCGAATTCAGTACAAATTTTCGTTTTTCAATTATGTTTGTATTCCGTTTGATTAAATTCGATTTTATTTTCTCGATTTTAAAAAATAACAATTATTTGATTTTTATATGGAATTCGTTTTAGTTGTATGAGCATCCCAATTTCGGATGTAAGATATAGCATGTAAATTCTTCGATTTTTTTAACGGTTATCGGATAAAATTTTCTTCAAATATTAACCCCTAATAAACGAATATTTTAAAATTCTTTAAAATTTACAATATATTGGTTTTCAGAATCTCTCGAATTCTAATTTCTCTTCCATGTTATAATATAAACTTTTCTTTTGTTTACTTTTCACATTCTATTAGAATATTAGGTTTTACCAAGTACCAACCTGCCTATTGGCAAGTTAATATTACCTTAAGGTTACAATAAAAATAAATAAATCAGAAAAACAAAAGATATATATAATAAATATGAACAAAGCTCCAAATCACAAGACGAAGACAACATCTACGCTGACGCATGATTAATTTAATGCGAGTAAAAAAGATTTTCTGGTCGAGAGAGCTTTTTTGGCAGCTTTTAAAAGGCCATTTATCATAAAATATCGTTATTATACTACAAAGACTTCACTGCATACCTCACAAAAAAAAAAAAATTTCAAAACGTACCTTTATAATTATATTATTTCCATAATACCCATTAACGTAGATTTCAATGACAAAAATATTAATGAGAAGAGAGAGAACATCAGTTCTCGATTTTTTAGAAAAAAATTTAAATATTTTTAAAATTTTAAAATTCCCTCCATCACAAAAAATAAATTTTTTCGTGTGAATTTTAAAAATCTCCGGTGTGACTAGTATGACCGGTGTGACCAGAATTAAATAAATTTTTTCGTGTGAATTTTAAAAATCTCCGGTGTGACTAGTATGACCGGTGTGACCAGAATTGTAGTGTGATTAGTGTGACCAATGTGACCAAGTGAACAAAGTTTAATATTAAGTTGTATGACCTAATGATCAATATGACTCGTGTGACCAGTACGATTAACATGATCAGAGTTGAAATCTTAAACGGTGTGATCAGTGTGGCCAATGTGACCAATATGACTAGTGTGACCAAAATTAAATTTTGAACGGTGTGATCAGGGTAATATGTGTGACTAGTATGACCAGTGTTACCAGTGTGACCTGTATGATTAGTGTGACCAAAATTAAATTTTGAAGGGTATGACCAGTGTGACCAATGTACCTTGTGTGACCAATGTGACTAATATGCCCAAAATTAAATTTTGAACGATGTGATTAGTGTGACCAGTGTGATATATGTGACCAATGTGACCTGTGTGACTAACGTGATCAAAATTAAATTTTAAACGGTGTAACCAATCTGACATACATTTGTTTCGTTGTCAATCTGTTTCATTATCGCTCTGAATCTTTATTTGAAATTAGATATGCGCCTCTTGCATATTCTTGGATAAATTTGCTCTGCATATGTCTCATTTTCATCAAAAACTACACGATTCACTTTAAAATCATAAAACTCAAACCCAAAAACACAAAGTTTATACGTCGAACCAATCTCTTGTATTAATGAACTTACATTCAGTTCTTGTCATTTGTTCTGTTTTTTGCCGATTCACGAAGAAGATATGAGGTCGTCGATGAAGATATGTTCAACGAAAAAACTATTTTCGTTTGTTTTTCTATGTATAGAAATGAAATGAGAGGGGAAAAAATGGAAGAGTTGAGAGAAAGATAAGATTATAAGAGTGGAGAGAGAAAAGTTAAGAAAGAAATGAAGAGTTATCAAAGTCTGAAAGCGAAAGAGAAGAGTTCAAAATGACTAAGTAAATGGGGAGAATAAAATAATATTTTGATATTGTTTTATTGTGTGTCAGGTTGTTTTTTTGAAAGGGTTAATTATGTCTTTTGTTCCTTTTATTTTTTTTTTAAATCTAAAGGTTTTGAAGTACAGTCCGTGAAACTTTTATAGCAAAGTAAGAGTACTTTTGCTATTTTGCCTTTTTAAAAAAGCAATAACTGTAATTATTTAAAAGAAATTGGACTGCTTTAATCTAAGGAACTATAATATCAACTTATAACAAGTACTTACAGAATTATATGTCATCACCATCTAATAGAATTTTGAAATCCTAAATTCACAGGGTGAATCATTCGTCATCTTGTTTACATAGATTTCTTAACATTTTGCACTTAATTAGCCTTTGTTGTGTTTTTCTGCAGCCGTCTCGATAAATAGGTCAATTCCAATAGTGTGTTCTTTGGATTCGCCGTCGACACAGGGAAAAAATAGTTATACGATTCCAATAACAGTATATACCAAACTATATTTAGATAAAATATTGACGACCGACATTAATTGAACACAACACACACACACATATATATATATATATATATATATTCGTACTATAAGAGGAGAGAAAGAAAAAAACATTACTGAGTTATTAGTATTATAGTGTTTGCCCTTTTGCCACATATTTGTTGCGAGAAACGTACATGCCCCCAAAGGGAACAAACTTTGCATGCATGCATGCGGGGAATATAACAATACGGTAATGCTTCCAAAAACAACGACACAATCTCTCTTTTTCTTTTTCTCTATATGTATACACACGCGCGCACACATTTAATTTATATTAATATATATATATATATATATATATAATCATCTGCCTGCTGCATCAATAAGAAAGAAGACATCAAAACATGTTTCTTGGCTTGAAAGCTCCTACATTGTCCCAGTTTCTTGAGATTGATGGAAGAGGATGCTATGGGTAGATAGATCATCGAAGCTGTTGAATTCATCAACTCAGAGGGGAATGTGAGCTCCTGGTCCGATCCTTATTTATCATATCATCCTAAATTTAGGTCGGCTCTTTTCATTTGTTGTTCAATCTAATGTTTATGTCGGATCAACGTTTTTGTTTTATTTTGTTTGTGAATAACTTGTGACGTAGAACGAAAGCCCTTATAGCTCAGTGGTAGAGCGTCAGTCTTGTAAACTGAAGGTCCGTAGTTCGATCCTGCGTGAGGGTATTTTCTTTTATTATATATTTTATCTGTATGACGTAATGATTATCATCCATCCATAAGAAACGACGTCATTTCACGAATGATTCGAGTACTGGATGGAATTTAGTCACCAGGTGACGAGAGAGGGTTATGTAAGGCACTCTTAATGCTTAACTCTACGCCTTTTAAAATAAAAAATAAATACTGCAATTGCGTTTCTGCTATTATTATTTTTTTAGATTGGAATCATAAAAATGATGGATATTTAAGGAATTAAATTACACAAGAAAAGGAACATCTAAACCCTAACCGAACAAGAGTGAGAATAACATGCGCCAACTCGCTGGTTACTTATCACGTTAATCCACAATTAATGTCTAATCTCCCCCTGAGTTATTATCCCACATCGCTACCTTACCTAATTGTTTAATTTATATCTACGGCCCAAAAAAGATATATATATATATATATATATATATATATATAAATAGCTAATGGGAGTGCTCCACACTTCACGTTCTTTCTGGTTTCCGCTTTTTGATGGGGGCATCCTCCACGTTCTTCCCGCGTGCCACGTCAACATAAATAATAATTTTTCTTGTCTATAAATAAATACTGAAATTTAAGAGTGAATATAAAATTGGTTATACGGAATCACGGAGCGTCTCAACAAAGATCAACAAGTCATCTGCAAAAACAAGGTGTGAGATCAGTCTTAAAATAATACTTTTCATTTCTTAATATCCAATATTCAATTCTCTCAAAACGTAGTATTTATTTTTTATATCGTACACCAATTTTGAGATCCATTTCCTTAGAAGAAAAGGAAATGTTTTTTTATTTATTTATTTATTATTTTATTCCAAAATTATTGAGGAGACCCATCTTACATGCATCGAAGCACTAAATTGGAAGACGTGTATTGTAAATTTGTAATCGTAACCTAATCTGCATTATTACATTTTTTAATATATATATTTTGCCTCGCAACCCACATGATTATTTAATATACATAATATAATAAATGCTCTCGTAATACATAACACACATAAATAACCAAGAAAACCCTAGAGGAGAAAACAAAAAATGATGATGAAACTGTTGTTGATATCTCTCTCTGTTCTTTTTCTTCAACTTCATCTTGTCCAGACAGCCCGTGGATTTGATTTCCACGAGAAAGAGCTCGAACACGAAGACAGTCTCAGAAGCCTGTACGAACGATGGAGAAGCCATCACTCCATTTCCAGACCCACCCACGAGTCAGTGAAGAGATTCAACGTCTTCAGACACAATGTGCTTCATGTCCACCACACGAACAAGAAGAACAAACCCTACAAGCTGAAGCTCAACAGATTCTCCGACATGACCCACCACGAGTTCGAGAGCCTCTTCGCCGGTTCCAAAGTCAAGCATCATCGGATGCTCCGTGGACCCAAACGAGGGCAAAGTGGTTTCATGTATGAGAATGTCACCCATCTCCCTCCCTCTGTCGACTGGAGAGAGAGAGGAGCTGTTACTCCAGTCAAGAATCAGCGGGAATGTGGTATGAGTTTCTCCTCTATCCCTGATTCCTTTGTTTCTGAATCTGATCGAGATTTCGATCTGGGTACTTGGGATTTCTCAACTTCAGATTAAAGGGTGTCCGGATTGAATCAGACTTCATAGGATCTGTAAGGTCTTATGTGTCTGCCCTTTGGAGACGGATTTTCATGGCTCTGTTTCAGTTTGATGAACACATCAAGTTGATAGGAAGTTTACAAAAAGAGCACGAATATCACGTGAATTATCCAAATTGTGCATGTATTTTGATCCTTACACCAACATAATGAAATTGTTGAATCTTTTGATATGATTCCTGTCTTGTGCTCTGATTTTGGATCGTCAGGGAGTTGCTGGGCGTTTTCGACGGTGGCAGCAGTAGAAGGAATAAATAAGATAAGGACAAACAAATTGGTGTCGCTGTCGGAACAGGAGCTTGTGGACTGTGACACTGAAGAGAACCAAGGATGCATGGGTGGCCTTATGGAGGTTGCCTTCGAGTTCATCCATAAGAATGGCGGCCTCACTACCGAGAAAAACTATCCCTACGAATCCGACAATAATATCTGCAGATCCAAGAAGGTTGGAGCAGGTTTCTTGATTCATAGAGTCATATAATAACAAACGGGAATGAAAGTGATTCAACTTTTTTGTGTGCTAATACTAGGGAAATGGGGAATGGGTTAAAATAAACGGGCACGAACACGTTCCCGACAACGACGAGGAAGCGCTTCTAAAGGCAGTGGCCCACCAGCCTGTCTCCGTGGCCATTGACGCCGGAAGTACTGATTTCCAGCTTTACTCTGAGGTAATTGCAATTTACCACTGTCATTGTATCTGTTTTCCTTGGAATAATATAGGGTGATTTTGTTCAAAAGCATTTGCCTTTGTGGTTAACGGAGTGTTTATTAACAAAACAACACCAATGGAAAACTATCTGTTTGTTTAGAAACAAAACCGTCGATTATAGGAAAAGGGCTTGACGGGTAAGAAGTATGGTGCAGGGAGTGTTTACGGGGGAATGCGGGACGCAGTTGAACCACGGAGTGGCAGTGGTAGGGTACGGGGAGAGCGAGGAAGGGAGGAAGTATTGGATAGTGAGGAATTCTTGGGGGGACGGATGGGGAGAGGGAGGTTACGTCCGGATAGAGAGAAGCGTCGACGATAAAGAAGGGCGTTGTGGCATTGCCATGGAGGCTTCATATCCCATCAAGTCTCCTCCCTCTGGTCCCAAAGACGAGCTCTAGGATCTATCCATCCGTGTTCTGTTTGGTTTCTGTAATAAGAGGGACGAAGTGGCTTAGCTTAACAGATTTGGTTTCTGTTTGGGAGATGGGTTTCTAATAAATGTCTTTGAAACGAGGGACTAAAATATTATATTCATCAAGGGATATTATATATATATATATATATATGTGTGTGTGTGTGTATATGATCTAACTGGGTGCATGAATCTATGTGATTGTATTGTATGGTCTGACTTAATGTGAATGACATAATTATTGGGTGCATGAATCTGTGTGTCATGTAATCAGGATATGGTCATGTGATTTTTGAAGACGGTTTTTTCATCCTGAATTGATCTTTAAACACCCTTCCTAACTTATGATTCCGTTACTCAATTTAAACGATAAGTAAAAATATTTAGATTTTGAATGGTGGGATTAGATGAATCGAGTTCATGAAAAAAAATTAGTTCTTTCTTTAAAAAATTACAGTATTTTATTACACTCTCTTTTAATATGTAGATGAATTTTCATCGGGGGAAAAAACAAAATACATAAATATTTTGAAACTAAATTCAATCAAGGAACCCAAATATCGTATTTTTCACCTTGTTTTTTTTTTTTGGCCAGTGAGATTAATTTCTTAGATATTTAATTCGATGTCTGTAATAAGGGTAGGAAACAAACGGAAGAGGATAAAACACAATTAAAATTTGGATATGATTACATGGAATCCCCGACCAAAAATAAAATATCTAACACTTACAGAGAGATTGGACGAAGTGACAGAACACAAAAATCTGAAAGGTGAATCAGGTTGCGTAACATAATCATCATCATTATGTGGTCCGTTTGAGTCCCACGCGTTTTTCCTATTTCTACACAAAAATTGTCACAACTGCTGTGATAATAATCACATGTTTATTATCAACTCCCACATCTTAGTATAAGTGTCGGTCGACTATTCAATTTAAACATATCTACTATGAAGATAACATGAATTTATCTTTCAAAAGGTTTTTTTTTTTAAAGTAATTATCGTTTTCATAAGGCTGCAGACAAGACAAGAGTGTAGAATATATACACACACACACTGAACCTAAATTGAAAGATCAAATTTATTTTAGCTTAACCATTACAAAATATTTCCGTATGAATTTCTGGTCGATGCATATTTCAGATATTCGTTTATTTTTGTTGTTGGACTTTTTTCAATGTGTACATATATAAGGCATATATGTTCCATACATAAGCTCTGGCATTTGAAGGGTCACTCCTCTACAAATTCAACCCTTTTAACCCAAACCGAAGGGGTACTTCATGATAGCAACACCCATTTATACAAAAATGAAAAACCACATCTTCTAACTTCATTCCACTGCAGATATATATATATATATATGTATATATAACGGAGTGTATCTAGAACGTCTTGAGGATCCTGATCAATCCTTCTGCTTCGTCGTCGACTGCTCCTTTCACCTTCTTTGGTTGGGACAGAGAAGACATTACTTTTGCAGACGCAACTCTTCTCACCAGAAGCTTCCACTTCGTGTCCTCCTCCATCTTCTTGTCTTGTTCTCTTTTTCTGAATTGCCTGCCCACCCACCCAAAAAAAAAAAAGGTGAATAAATTTGATAATGATGTCCCATTCCAATAATCTCGAACTCGACGGTGATTCGCAGACGACTGATGATGACTCGGACTCGGAGACATGAATTCCGTAGAGCAATAAAACGTTTTCCAAGCCATTTATCATGCTTTCCCAATGGCCCACCAAGTGGACCTAAGATATGGAAGATATTTTTTGTCTCTTGGCGCCGAAAGGGATGTGCATGTGACCATGAGTCCGAATGAGTGCCAGATACTTTGAAAGTGTCATCATAGTGTTCAAGAAAGATGGAGCTTTTTCATTTAATTAAAGTGTTTTCGAGATTCCGAACCTCAATCTCTGACAAAAAAATACAACGAGAAAAAACACGCGAGGATACCTGCAGAGAGGAACCCGACAACATTCGGGTTGGTCGCAGATGGAAGAATGGAGCCTAAGGAGCTGCAGCATCCGCTTGCAACGGAGACAGCTGTGGCCGCTAACCCGCCTCTTGCAGACGGCGAAGTGCCGTATCAGTAGCTGAAGGCCATAACATGTCGAGAACGCCCTGCATGGCGGTGACTTGGTCCCGGGCTCCACATGAGTGGGTCCGACCAGTGTGCAACCTTCCGTGCATATGTGCTCTAAGCAATCCATCGCCTCGCTCAGTTGCATGTACAGGCTCTGCTCCCGCCTGTGCCGCCTCCTCCTTTTCTTCCTCTGCATCAAAATTCACAAAACCAGAAACTAAGAATTGTCTAATTTGTATGTATGGAAACCATAACAATCAAAAAGGGTGTTCTAGACAGAGATTTCAGAAACAGAGGGGCATGGAGAAATAGAATTACTGATTCAGCCTCATCGATGAATTGGAGGATGTCGAGCTCGAGGAAAGGATCATGCTCCTGGAGGAACTTCCAGCCTTCCGTCTGCTCCACGGCCTTGAACTGCGTGTAGATGAGGCGCATACATCTGAGGCAGAGATCAGGCGCGTCGCAGAGCCTGGCGAGCTGGAGAACGTCGACGACATTCTCTGCCGTCATGCGCTGACCGACGCCCTTCGTGCACCGCTGCTTCAGCGGAGCCACCATGTAGACGTGCGACAGCGCGAGCAGGTGGATCCCGTACTTCCCCATCTCCTCCTCCGTCAGACTGCGTGAAAACAGGGAGAGTTTTTGTTAACTGTGGTTTTGAAAAATCAACAACAACAACAATCCAAAGTTTTTGGAATTAAGATCTGAGTTTTTTTAGACTATTCGCCGTTGATTTTCCCTGGCTGTAGAAGTTGATAACCTGATTCTATGTGATTCGAATTTACATGAAATCGCAATGTAATCTTGATTCTACACTATAATCCGAGAACTGCACAGAGAGTCGTCCAGACAGAGAATCGTTCAGTTCTTCCGGTTGAGATCAAAAGAAAGTATGTTGTTTGGGTTTCAAATTTGAACACCAGTGATAAGAACATCGGAGAAAAAAACCTGGAAGAGTAGAGGAATCCGACGAAGGCGGAGACGGCGTCACATGGAACGCCGAGAATCTTAATGACTCTTTTGCCGCCGCCGCCGCCGCCGCCGTGGCGTTTGGTCCGCCTCTCGATGATGTTCTTCAGCACCGGCGATGCCGAAGCCTGCATTCCGTAATTCAGACACCATGAAGAAAACCAAAATATGAAACAAAAGCAAAATTCCTCTTCCTAGAAGATCGTGGTGGAACAAAACTAGGGAGAGATTTCAATCGATCGAATAATATCTCACCAGGATACCGGAGTGCGCGGGAATTCGACGGCGGCCAGAGGTTACGATGTCGACGTCGGGCTCAGCTGCGAACTGAGAATCGCCGGCGTCGGCGGAGACCGCCGTCGTGATGAGTACAGCTGCCATTTTAGAGAGGGAGAGGGAGAGGTAGAGAGAGAGAGATTGTTGTTGCTGAGGGGAAATGTTTGGGTGTCCATGGCTTTATAGGACAACGCAGCAAAATCCTGGACTGCTCGAGTGCGTACGTGGCATTTTCACAAATATCTTTTTTTTTACTGCTCTTATTGCGTATCCCACGCGCTTCTTCTGGCGCGTGGATATCTCCTCGGAATTTTTTTCTCCTAAAAACGGGAAAAAGGATCGGGGAAAATAAAGGGAAATTGGTTAATAGCTTATTTAATAACGATAATTACGATTTCCTTACAAATATTGAGTTGTGAAACTCTGGTTGTAGTAAGAATTAGAAAATTAATTCCTATCATTGGAAAAAAATCGCTACATTTAGATTAGATCTACTGAGTACTAAATTGAAACGGAAGAAAATAGAAATAAAAGATATTACTATCTTTTACTATTAATTAAAACAAATAACGTGCACAGTAAAAAAAATAGTTTAATAATTAATTGCCTTGGAGGATGACAAGTTTTGTGATAAGTTTTCCAACATATTCAATTATGGAAAAAACAATGTGGAAATAATGATTTATATTGATTTTGTATGTAAAATTATCGGATACTCGAAGTTTTTTATATAGTTATTTTTCACTTGATAATATCAATAATATTTAATATGGTTACAGGAGGGAATACTCGAAACGAAAATAAATATATGATAATATATAAGTACACTAACCTGCCCTTTATATTTAACTTATCAAAACTGAAGATTTGAACAACATAAAACGGTTCAAATTATAATTTTAATAAGTTATTGTTGCAATCGTCGTTTTTATATCATATTTATTATTTTTTATATTTTCGTAAAAATAAAATTTTATATGTCTTTCAAACAAATAAAAAAACATTAATTACATCATTTATACAAAAAAATCTTGTATTTAAAGTTTGTTATAATAAATCATCAATTATTATTTTGGCAAAAAAACCATCAACTATATAAATTATTTAAAAATAATATTTCACTTTAAATTTATTATAAAAAACTATCAAATATTAAATTTTATAAAAACATTTATTAACTATCTAATTTCTTCAAAAAAATATTTTATTTTAATTTATTAGAAAAGTCTATAAAATTTGAATAGAAATATATATAAAAATTGTACAATTTTAAAAATCATAAAAATATAATATTTATTTAAATATATTATATTATAATATTTAAATTTTATATAAATATTTATAAATATCATCTTTTATATAATAAATTTATGAACAAATATTTTTTTAAAATTAAGTATATTTTACCAATCATAAATATAATATTTAAAATTTATCATATATTAATATTTTAAATATTGCTATCAATTTGATGTTTTTTTATAAAAATTTATTAATTGAAATATTATATAGTGTATAATTATATATAAATTAGTTATATAATAGATAATATATTGTTTCTAAAATGAAATAAAAACATAGTATTTTTTACATGTAATATTGTATAAATCGATATATTTTTATATGTAAAATAGAATATTTTTAATAAGATATATATTTGATTTTAAGAAAATTATATATTTCTATCTTTGCAATCAATATTCAATTCTTTAAATATAAATTTGTATACAAATTTATTATATAGAGAGTGGTGTTTATAAATATTTCAATAAATTCTAAATATTACAATACAATAAATTTAAATAAATATAATGTTTTATTGTGATTTTTAGAATTATATAATTTATATATGTTTTTATTTAAATTAAATAGATTTTTATAACAAAATTAAAATAGAATATTTTTAAAGTAATTTAGATAGTTGATACTTATAAATTTATTAAAATTAATAGTTGACGATTTTTTTAATCAAATTTAAAATGAAATATTGTTTCTAATAATTTATATAGTTGATAGATTTTTTTGTCAAAATTAATAGTTGATCATTATTATAATGAATTAAGTAAAATATTTTTTAGTATAAATGAGATAGTTAGTGACTTTTTTTATCTATGTTTTTCAAAATTTAATTGTCATCCTTACATATTGTCGAAAAAATAAGAGTTTTTCTTTACTAGTAGAACTCGTGAGCATCAACCTTCAAGCTAAATGATAATTTACCAACAATTTCCTTATTAATACATTTTGAACATTTCAGATTTTTATTTTTTTAATAAGCAGAACAAGATAGCACCCAAAAAAAAGAAAAAAAAAGAAATATTAGGACAAAATAATCTATAGATTTGAAGTATTTGGAAGTATTTGTTCAATTATACTTACGCATGGAATCCCTTAGATTTTGTATATCTATTTCAATTTTTGTAACAAACTTTGTAATTTTTTGCGGATAGAAATACAACAAGCACATTTTATAAAAAAAAATTTTTATAATGAGAATTAATGTAAGGATTAAATTGGTCTAAAATAATATGTATATACAAATATTAATATATACAATAATTTTATTATATTTAGTTTAGAATTATATAAAAATGACCAAATATCAAATCACAACACACACACACACATATATATATACCGTCTTAGAGCATGTGCAACTGGAGCATTTGCACAGGGCCCACAATTTAGGTGGGGCTCATATTTTTAAAAAATTATTATATTTACAATTTACAAGTACTATTTATTAAAAAATTAAAATAACAAATTTTTTTAAGTTTTATTTAATTCACTTAAAAATATTTTTTTACACTTTTTCAAATGAGGTGGACCCCATTAAAAAATAATTTTTTTTATAAATTTATAGTATTTAATATAAATTAAGACCATGTTTTCCAAATCATTTGTCGTAATAATCAATTAATAAATATTTTGAGTTATATATAATTATATATATTAAATTCATAATTTATTTATATTAATATCATTAAATTTTTATTAATTAATATAGTTCATAATTATAATTTTTTTATAAATCTAAAATAAAATCTATATTATCCTAGAATAACATTGATCTTTTAACTCCAATTATTAAAAAATTATTTTTTATATCATATCATTCATTTTAAATATTTATTTTTAAAAATGATAAATTTTTAAAATATAATTTTTTTTTATATCTTTTAATCATATATTATGATTATTTATTATTTCTAATAATATTATTATTATCACAATTATTGTTATTAATATTTTAATAATATTTATAAATTTAATTTTTTAAAATTAAAATTTAAAAATAAAATAAGTATTTTTTCTTTGTACAGTGCCTCGAAAATGTTTGGGACGGCTTTGTGTGGAATTAATTCCGACATCGAGATTGTTAATTGTTTTATAAGAATCTGCCGGCAACGAAAGGGCGAATTATAAAAGATTACTTTTTGGTGCAATGTGGACATAAATGGTCCCCACGAAGGTTTGGTGTTTATGTTTGGTAGCAGCGATCTTACGTGGAAAAGGGATAAAACCGGACCGGACTTTGCCTTGTCATCCAATTCATAAGCGTTTTATTTAATTTGCAAAGGCCGGTTTTCCAATTTAAACCGACCTTTGCCTCCTCTCAAGAGCCATCCCTTTTCCCACGTGGGTCGTTCTCATCCGTTCCGCCACGTGTATCTCTCTCATTGGTCCTTGATGTCACAAGTTTGATATATATATATATATATATGTAGAATTTTACAAAAACTAAAATGGAAAACTACGTCTTTGTCGTTAAATACAAATGTAGGCTGACGGAGATGTAATCCTTCGTATTTTAGAAATAATTTGTGTGGCGAATGTGAAAAAAAAATGCAAGCTATTTTAGAAAGAATAATATATTTTCTTTTACCAAAAAAAGAATAATATATTTTTATATAATTGGTCGGAGTAAAAACTTCAAGAACGGTAAATGAGAAAATTATAAGTTACAGATATGATTGGCTCGTCATGGAGTCGCCGCGTATATACAAGGCCACGTGGCAGTAACCAGCCAGGCCAGGTGGAGAGATTATCCAGCAGCTGTGGTGTACATAAGTGACGGCTCATTTTAATTTAAACCACTCATTTCACTCCACGTGTCTTATGTTTACTGGTTATCCAGGGCTCTCCTACGAACCAAACGACGTGATGAACGGTTGTCACACTAGATAATTTATTTATTATATTTTTTGGCAGAATAAATCAACCATACGCATATCATATTGGAACAATATGATCAATTTAAAATCGATTATGAAAGGAATAAATATATCATACGTACCAATAACCAACGAATCTAATAAAGTGCAGTCCACAAGCTTAATTTGTATCGTTGATTAATTACTTGAATATTGTCACTTTATTAGTCATAACGCTATTGAGAAATGGCTCTTTAAGGAAACGAAGAACTAAGATTCGGAATTGTGGATAAGTTTGGATGGGGAAAAAGGGAAAAAAGTGTCGCATAAACTAATAGATTTGGTGATTTCATCATAGATTCTTTCCTTTATAATTATTTATTAGCAAATTGCATATAATATTAACTTCTTAACGTGTAATTTTCGTGAGAACAAGTGGATATTGATTTCAATGTTCATGGGACGTTTTAGTGTTTGCTTATCTTATAAAACCGTATATATATATTCTAATTTATTTGATATGTGCTCTACAAAAATATCAACAAAAAAATCTTCAATTAATTAGTATCCGATACATATTATGTCACTATATGTAGTATATAAACATTGGAAAAATAAAGGGCATGGGTCGAGGTTGTACAATTGTATAATATGTACAACTTTTCATTGTAATATATGTTAGTGTTCGTCATTTTATACTTATAGCTCAATAAAGATCAAACAAATAAATTCCGCCCAATCTATTAGATGGTGGTCCAGTGGTTAATATGTGACAAAATCATTTCAAGATCACAGGTGATCGATTCAATTAGTGGGGAGGAAGGGACACATTTAATTGTGTGTCCAAAGGTTGATTTCGGATCTAGTGAGATTAAATGGTTCGAATACCCAATAAACTTTCGGCTATAAAAAAAATCCGCTCACTTTACCAAAAAATAAATAATAAATTCTGCCCAAATCCACCGACGATTTTCAGTAAAAAAAGCTAATCT